GCAGCAGCAGCAACAGCAACAGCAACAGCAGAAGAAGGGAGTCTCGTTCGAGTTCTCCACTTCACCGGATCTGGAGACCGGATTCGAGCCGCAGACCCGCGCGCGATCCAATACATGGCCGTTACCGCGACCAGAAGGATACGTCGAGGGTAACGTGCCAACCGCGAAGGAAGGCGCCGAAGGCGGCACGCCGCCCCATCAGGCGCAGCTCGCCCAGGGTCTCCTACCGGTGAAGAAGAACTCCTCAAGGAGGAACGCCTGGGGGAACCTCAGCTACGCCGACCTCATCACGCAGGCGATCACCAGCGCGCCCGACCAGCGGCTCACTCTCTCGCAGATCTACGAGTGGATGGTCCAGAACGTATCCTACTTCAAGGACAAGGGTGACAACAATAGCAGCGCCGGTTGGAAGGTAAGTGAATTTTCGCCTCCCTCTATCCTTCTCTCCCTCTTTCGAGTTCGCGACATTCGCGCTTGACGCTTGCCTCCGACTTCCGAGGCAGGCCGGGCTCGGGTTTGCCAAGATCTAATTTAAGTCACACAACATTGAGATGCTTTTCCCGAAACGTGTCTTAGATCAGGGACGTGTACCGCAACGCGCGCGTGCAACCATTTATAATGCGTTAAATCTCTCAATTTTCCAAGAGACGTTTCGAGAAGCGCGTACATATGTGTCTTAAAGATGTATCGTTAAAAGTGATATCGGATGACTGTGTGATGAAACGCAGAGTTCGTATTTTCGACATTGCAAATCGCATTCCGCTTGATCTCATATTTTTATGCAATTTTTCGTCACTTTTTCCCAAGACGTTTCTTTTTCATAATTGCGCACTGAAATGTACACTCTGAAAAAAAAGGTTTTAATTAAATCGACAAAAAGGCTCAGCGAGAATGACACATTTTCGTGAGACCAAACAGAATTTCTGGTTATGATAACCAACTAAAATGTCATTCTTGTTGAACCTTTTAGTTGGTTTAATCAGAACATTCATTTTTCTCACACACACACACATAATCAGAGTACAATGTAATAATTCTTCTAAAACCGATGATTCACGTGAAACGCGATAAAACACCGAACGCTGTCCACGTTCTTAAAGTGTGGCCGGTCAGAGTTTCATTTAATGCAAGAATCGCGCGATTTTTATCACGGGACGCGAGAATCAAGTAACTGAGTTCGAGGTAACATGCGCAGCGTGAATGCGAGCCGAAGTCACATTCGGAGTCACGTTTACAGCGGTACGAAGACTTCCGTTTCGTATGGAAACAATTGTGACACGCGACAGTGCGAAGGTTAGACGCGAGAATTCATCCGGCTGGAATTTATGCGAACGTAACGATATTTTTCATGATTCACGTTATGCGATTACATTACGAACGGACGTTTCACAGAGACGCCTGAGAAGAGCTTCTATTTCGTAATTAATGCATTTTTTAACTTGATATTATAACTCAGTAATATAATGATAAAAAAAAATTTCCTATCTTTTAGTCGATTAATCTTTCAGTTCACCTTAATTGTAATATATGTTGATTATTAAATTTTATATAACAGAGATTGATTTTCAAAAAGTTTGTCAATGAAATTTGTGATTAATTCTAGATTTAGTTTAACGATAAACTTTACTTCTGAGCTTAATTGAAATTAGTGCAATTAGCAACGAGAGATGGTTTGTGATTACCTATACTTATATTCCTCGCCTTGATGAAATGAACGGCAGGGCATTTCACGAAACATTGGCATTAGCAATGGCTCACAACTAGCCAAACCCTTTGGCATTTCTGATGGTGTATGATTATCTTTGGAACGATGAAATTTTTTAATCGTTCTCTGATTATGTGAAAATATTACTCGTATTCTTTTGCTTTACTATTTTTTAATTAACGGAAACAGTTAATACCTTGAGAAGTTTGGAAAAGCACTACGTACTTTACTGTTGATAAGAACAAGTGCTTATCAGAACGATAAAAAGCGATAATATATCGAGCGCTTCTTTTTTCTGTAGCCGAACCTATTTACATAGATCATATGTGCGCATCATAGGCTTCAAGATTATGGCATTGCATTTTTATTATGGTACAATCTCCTCTCACGGAAAATAAAGGCTATAATTATCACCGCAAAATAATGAAACGGAAAGACATAACTGATTGCAACGAGTGAAACAGAATTTTAAACCAAGTGATAGTCCGATAAGTTATTAATTATTAATTAATAATAAAATAGCTTGTATAAAACGACAGTTGATCTTTTAATGATATTAAACGAATGTAACGCATATACGAGTCGAACAAAATGTTAGAACTGCAAAGCGAATGTTTATGTCGAACTATTTAGCGCGGCACGCGCATAATTAAAATGTTAATAATGCATTATAGTGTTTATAATTATAAAGCTCGAGCTCCTGGTTCGCGGCAAAGCTCTGCGTTACACATTGCGTACAACAGACGAGATGTTTTATAGGTACGTATTTCGTTACGGTGTGTCGCTAATTGGCTGTCAAATTTGAAATAATTCAATCTTAGAAGCTTGAGGTTGCGTGTAATATGGTAACAATTTATATTCTTCTTCACAACAAGTATCGTGTCAATCTGCTTTGTTCAGTGACACTTTAAACTCTAAAAAGAGGGAAAAGAAATTTGGAAAAAATGGAAAAATATTTCTTCGACGTTCCGAGTTTATAATTTGATATATCTTTTTAATTCTTAAGTATCCTTCATTATTCTATGGCTATCTGACGTAGATGACTAGCTTAATTTTTCAAATCTTAACATTTTAATAATCAGCACAATTGAACTTGTATCTTTTTAATATAAATAAAATTGTAAAAGTTTTATCTAAATTTTTATACAAGTAATGTACTGTTCTTTATTTACACAGAGCTACATTTATCAGCCAATATATTTTCTTTTTAACGAAGTTTAAATGAGAGAAATAGTAAAATTTCTAAATCTATTTCTGAATCGCGTTTATAAGTCGGTCCATTATTATGGCTGGAACAATATGTGCAAAGTATTAATGGTATATGATTTATATACCATTCAATATTTTCTACTTGATTACAAATTATCTATGCTTTAAGTGTATTTCGTTACAATTTCGATGTAAAGTGCGAAAGAATTCATTATAAAGGGAGCAAAATACTTTTTTTTCATTCTAAACTCGCTGCGTGTGACACTTGTACTGTTTCTAATCCTAGTTTATTACCTATATTTGGAAAGAAAACACTCTTGTATATGGCACTTGGAAGAAAAAAGACGATATTACCGCAAAAAGTTTATATTCATGATTGCAACAGTTGAAAATAGTAAAGTTATTTTCAACTGTTATAGATCTCGATGTTGGTTTTGAATATAAGACTTTATGTAAGTTAACAAAATTAAATCCTGGTGCAAGTTTGCAGTATTTTTCTAATCGGTTTTTCACTTTTGCGTGAATGATTACACAGGATATTTGACATTTCGATGAGCAATGTGTTCTACCCTTTTGACATAATGTATTGGATTCCGTTCTCTTTTTATGTAAGTTTATATCATTGTATTTATTCTATATTGACGTAATGTTATTTATTTAAAATTCATATTATTTTACAAATTAAGATTTTTATGTAGTAACAGTGTGTGCGTTTGACTTAATTCAGGTAACTTTTCTATTGTATTAACTTTCAGTATTTCAAGTATTAACGCATTGTTTATGTCTTTAATCGCAATTCATATATTGTATAAGTTTTCTTTCCAATTTGATGTAACGAATATGACTGCATATGTAATTTTTAATTTTTATAACTTCAATTTTTAGTATTAGTGTACCTGTTTGATAGTATGTTCAGTATATGTAATTTTTGATTTATATTAATTTTTATGCCGGTGTGCGTTTGCTATATTGATGTGAGTATTTCGTTACACAGCTAACTTGGTAATTGGATAAAGAAGAATGAGCTGTGTCGCTTCTCGGAATTTGCGTATAGTACGTAAGCGGATTTAGGTTATATTATATTGATAAGGACCCAAAAATAGGGGTCGAAACGTATATTTAATTAATTTTTGATATGACTTGTTTAATTACACGAAAATAAATTGTACATCCGATTAACTGATGTTTGGCTTTGATGGGCTTGCTTATTATTATTATTATTATTGATAGATTCTTTCAAGCCTTTTTTTAGATATTTGTTAAAGTTATTTTGACGTAGTAGAGTTATGGAGGAAGTTATTGTAATTTTTAGATATATCTAGAGTTAACAGTCTAATTATAAGTATAAAGGTCTTTCATAACTCTTCAGCGCCTAATGTGTCAGATGACAAATGTGCTTTCTATGTTTCTCTCGTCTCCGTTATTTAAATGAAATATTAGAAATTGCCAGTTAGGCACCTACGACACTTAGCTATTCAATTATCGTGTGTCGAGTCGACGCGTGAAACGCGCGGCAAGAATCCACGCTAAAAATCTAACGGAAAACAAGGACCGCATCTGCGAACTTGCGGATGCAAGTCGTGCAGAGTGGCTGACGAGGACGACGAGGACGACGAGGACGAGGATGACGACGACGACGACGACGACGACATGCAATCACGTGGCATATGCTGTGTGAGAGAGAGAGAGAGAGAGAGAGAGAGAGAGAGAGAGAGAGAGAGAGAGAGAGAGAGAGAGCACTGTATCTTCTCCTGTGCGAGCGCGCGGGAATGCATACCGACGCAAAATGCAACGCGGAGAGTTTAAGGCCCGTTTACACCGTCGTCGCCATCGCCACCGTCGCTGCCGCTGCCGCGGCCATCATCATCGACGTCACGTCGGGTCGAAGTACACGCATAAATCGATGCCATCGGACGGACAATCGTCGTTGCTCATTTCACTCTCTCAAACGTCGTACGGCGCGGCATTATTTATGCGCGGGTTGCGCTGCACGCGAAAGCGCCCGACAAAAGTTCAGGGATACGTTCTGAGAATTCACCGAGGAAAGAGAGATTCCTGCGTGCGCGTTTAACGGCTCGTTTCATTCAACGACTCTCCTCGACGTCCCATCGGTCATCGGCGAATCGTGACGTCGGAAGCGAAAAAGTCGGAAGCCAAGGCTCGCACGTGGAGCTCGCTTATAGTTGAGTTTACACAGAGTTCTTTTAACATACCTACACTTCTCGAAACAATGTTAATTTTATTTATTATAGGCAAGAGCCATTATAGGCTCATTATAATCGACATATTAACGACATAATTGTGAATGAGCAGGACCTAAAGTATCCTTTTATCGAGATTTTTCTGCGATGTAAACGCGATTGTTATACTCTCAATTGCACAGAGCGAGGAGTTGGAGAATTTATAGTAACACGATTGCAATTCGAGTAACGCATTGCGAGCACAATAATTGGTGTTCCCTCCGGCGTACAATCGCGCCTTGCTCATCGAGGAATTTC